TCAGAGCAGTCCCTTTCAAACAATTTATTCATCAAATAAATCGATATAGGTACATTTCGCTTGTTTGGTTATGATGTTTTATTTGTTTTTTATCGCAATTGTTTTGATTAATGGAAAGCTTTTAACCAGACGCTGATGTCGATACACTTGCACAGCTGTACTATCAATCATCATGTATCACATTGTAATTCATTGAAGCATTACACACACAATATATTGACAATCATTAGTGTTGCCTTTATTTCTTTCTGCTCGACCGTATACACGTATTTTACGTGTTTTCATAAAAACGCACGTACAACAAACATATATATTATACCAGCACGCAATAATCTATAGAAACATGATGACAAAATTATAGTGCGGTACTCTGTATCTTTATTTCGCGATAGTTCATGTAAAATATTAAATAACTCATTGTTGTGCAACATTGGACCTTTCCTCGTGACGCGTACATTTTCTACCCACTCATTCGCCGCTCGATTGCGCAACATGTTTTTCATATTTCTCTCTCTCTCTCTCTCTCTCCTCTATTTTCTCCTTATCGTCCTCGAACACACTTTTCTCTCAAACACTCACTCTCTGTATCTCTCCAAGTAGTGCATATCTCTGTCTCGTTCTCTCGCGATTACAGTGATTGTAAAGTGATCTCGCCAAGGTCGAATTGTTATACATTCTATTACATATACGGAAAGGCGGAGAGAACGATTCGATGAAAAGGAGAGGAGAAAATATATATATACGACTTTTCTCTCTTTTTTTTCTTCTCTTTTTCATTCTTTCTCGTGTTATTTTTTATGCCCTTGACTTTTGCCCACAGGGTTTGTCGTGCGGCAAATCCATGGCAGTCTACATTTTTTCTCTTCAATTCTTATGTATCTTTGTCGTCTCGTAAGCAATCGCAAGGCTGTAGTTTTGTATTTTTTTTTTTTACTTTGATCTACATCTTTTATTACTTAGGTGGACGCATGAAATTTTGAAAGGATAAACGAAATAATATTCCATTACATACAAAAAAACTCTCAGGTCCATAGTATCTGGCACTTTGGCATTTTTTTCATGCATATCGATCTAATATTTTTTTTTTTCAACTATCTTGTCTCCTTTGCGTTAACATTCATCAAAGTTGGACTCGCAAAAAAAAGTATTTATCCGCCCACAAAGCCACAAAGTTTCATATACGCAAACACGCAATCGATTTATAACAAATGCACTCGTTCATCGAACGGTGGCGAGTGCTTTTCAGTCTACTTTTTTTATGTTTTTAATAATTTATGTGATTTGTTTGTTTGATTTTTTTTTTTCATCCTTAAATTATTTTCAAACGCATAGGTTATTTAAAAAATTTTTTTTATTATTACTATAAATTTTTTGTTAGAATTTTCAAACTTTCTCATCAACATCGCATAATATAATTTATTCTCTTTTTTTGGCATTTTTTATTTTTGTAAATAATCTTTTAAAACTTCAGTCCTTAAGAATATGAGCCGCAAGAACCTTAGATAATACGACATGGCGAAAAGAGCGTCCACGTGTTTGTATCATGATTGTTTTAAAAGTCGCATCGTCGTGCAAAAAAAATCCAATGCGTTCTCATCGCTGCAGCTTTTTTATTTCCTTCGTACACGTTACTTTTGTATCTCCGCACTAGACTTTTCGAATACAAGTACATGTATAAAATTCCATTATTTATCTCTGCAACATACGCAAACGAAACAACTCATTTGATTAATAAATTTATTTACTAATTTCTCTAACCGAGAAGCGCACAACTCAACAGAAAACTACATAATTATACATCTAGCAAAATATCTCACATTCCAGACAAACCGTGTGTCTTACGAATCAACAACAAATGGTAGTAACTAAAATAATAATTAATAATAATAATAATAATTATTATATGCAAAGGCAGAGCAGCTTGACAACAGTGTCTCTATAGCAGTAGACGACGCGCTTGAATCAAGTCTTTGCAATCGGTACATACATGAAACCGAACGGAAAACAGGAACTGCATCGTCGTGGAAATTACACAAGGAAAAAAGGAGGAAACCTGCACAAGCGAGAGGATAAGAGTCCTTAGGAGGGGAAAGGTCGCTTCTCCTTCCCTCGCGTATATAATTACATACGAATCATATAAAAGCGATAGGTGGATGGGGAGGGGGAGGGGCAGAAAGTAAAAGGACACCGCGAATGTAACCCATCGCGTTTTTATATGCGCGAACAACGGAGCACGCGCGTTTTTCCTCCATCATTCGGGAGCTTTACTTTCGCTCTCTCGCTCCACGGGTTATACCCTCCCCCTCCCCCCGACCCGCTCGGCTGTATAGAATATCCTCGCGCAACCAGGAATACGTGTATACTTCTTGATCGATCTCTCCCTCCTCCTCCTCCTCCTCCTTGTGTTTTTTCTGTCGTGCGAGAGCGTATAGATGTAGACGCGCGGGGCTGTGTTATGAATCAACAACCGCAAGAGGAGCGTAACGAGGTCAGGCTCCGGTGCTCTCTTTCCCTTTTATTCGTGCATATGTATACACTCGGATCGATCGATTTATCGATTCAGCTGGCCGTAAGATCTCCCCTTCTACGGTGAGTAGTCCGAAATTTTCAGTCCAAAAATTACCACTTTGTTTTTTTCTTCATATTTGTATTTGGTCGGAGGGTTTATTGGGGTTCGGTGAACTTTTTTCCCCGGTTGGTTTTTGTCAAGTGAAATTTCGTTGTATATTTGTATGAAATGTAGTTGTTTTTATTCAGTTTCATAGAGACATCGATCAATTTATTTCATACAACTTTCGGTACAGTAAAAATATTTATGATAAATTTGTTTCCACTTGTGCATTTGCAACGGTACCTACACTGCTGGTAGTACGGGCTGTAAATGTAAACTGAATGTATAATTTATCATTTGTCTACTGTATGTAGGCATATATTATTTGTTGTATAATAACATTTGTGGATATAATAACGTAATTTCAATACTCTAAAAGCGCATATTCGGACAATTGAGAGTTACAAGTGTGTCTCATATAAATATTTAAATTTTCGATAAAACCGTAGCGTATATTATAATAAAAAATGATTTCCGTTTTTCGTTGATAAAATAAGAGGGAAAAAAAAAACAATGGCTTAAAACTTTGTACTTTGTCGAAATTGTTATTTTCGTATACGAAATTAATTCACATTGCTTCGAACAATGGAGAAGAAAAAAAATTTCAAGTTTTAAAAACTTTTTCCACGACTGATGCACTTAAGTACTTGTATCTATAGTTTTGTCATTATCCCACTTGCTTTTGCGAGCCGAATAATAAATGATAGCCGCACACTCGCGTATACATAAGACACTTACGAGCTGCTCGCCTTTCTATACATTTGCTTATATGCAATGCTGCGTTAAGATTTTTTTTTTCTTTCCATTTCCTCGCCTTTACATCGGTTATGCTCTGCACAAGCGTTTTACATACGTGATATTTATACTTAAAAATTTAGCTCTACATAAAAAAAAGGAAACTATGATATAGTAATCTAAACAAACAAGAAAAAAGAAAGAAAATAAGAAAAAAAAGTAAAATGTTCACAGCCACTCATTAATTAATTAACAAAATAATTAATTAACATACTTGCATGTATACAATGGATTTTTGTTGTTTCAAAATCTTGTTTACACATTGTTCATTGGAATCATATTAATTGATAATAACATATATTATGTATACATACTTCGTGTCGTACGTGTCACGAGTGCCAGATATTATATGTATATATTTGTTACATTTTTCGTGCACTTAATAGAAAAGAAATAACGCAAGTTTATATATATTTTTTAAACACATCGTCTTTTAATCTGATAATGAAATACCATTCCTTACTTTTTATTTTTTTTATTTATTTTTTTTTTACTTCCTACAACAATGACTGCTCCGATTCAAATAAGACAATATATAACATTTTTTTCCTCCTTACTCTTTTTCCATACAAGCGACACGCGACTTCGACTATTTCTCTTCTTTTTTGGTTTCAACAAAACGACAATCACAAGCATCACTTTTTTCTCCCTACGGTAGGCATCCACACACAAATACGTACCTAAATCCTCTTTCGCGTGTTGGTATTATTTTATCGCTCTTTTTTTATACGTGCTCGCTTGCACTTTTGCGCACATCGGAATGATTTTTTTTAAACAAATCAAAAACGAAGCAAAGTTAAACAAACAATCCAACGCGTCGTTCACTTCCTTTCGATCCTGCACATACTTGTTCATGCGATGCTAGTGTGTATCCGTTTCAGTGACGACTCCTTCATCTTCAATTTCTTCGTTTCATGGGTGGTGACTTGGTGAACAATTTAAGCCCAGCACCCGTTGATTTGAAAATGGCATTTCGGTTTCTCTTCTACTTTTTTTTTTGTTTCATCGAAGCGGGCAAGTCTTGAAAAAAAGCTTTTTTCCTCTTCAGCAGCGCAACAGCGTCATTGTCACCATGTAAACGTTGCATATATTATGAACGTGTTAGCATATGTATGGGCTACCTGTTCTCAGAACGGACGATTGCACCACGTTGTCTGCTCCATCGTGTATTGTATTTTGAGTTTTTTTTTTTTCAGTTTCAGAATTTTTTTGTCTTCGTATTTTAAAAAAATGTTTATTTTTAAGTATAAGCATCACATTCTAAGTAACGACGAATGAGCGCGAAGGTCGTACAACGAAATAGACAAACGTTGTCGCTTGAGGACAAGCGTCAGTGGACCATTTTGTTTATCAGTATCTTGACAACAGTGTCTCTATAGCAGTAGACGACGCGCTTGAATCAAGTCTTTGCAATCGGTACATACATGAAACCGAACGGAAAACAGGAACTGCNCGATGATGAAATATGTCTCCTCAGCTCGAAATTCGATAGGTTTGAGGTTTTCTTCCTTCTCCTGTTGCTCACAGCCACATAGGTATTCACCCATGTTTATCATATACGTAAACACGTTCGTGTACTTAACATTGGATGTATGTATATTTTTTTTCGCTCAAATCTTGGCGTGTAGTCTTTTTGTTACTTTCGTCCCGAGATTATCATCTTTTTTGCTTTACATCAATTTAAAATCGGAGACTGCATACTTAAATCTACGTGTGTCCTCCTCGAGCGCGAGGCAGTTTCTCATATATTTTTTTTTCTCGTTCCTTCCTCCACACTTTTTGCATCCTCTTGTTCTTCTTCTTTTTTTTTCTTTTGTTGATTAAAAAACCAAAAACTCTGCGGGCACTAAATCTTTCACTCTCCAACATCGCGCATCATCATCACAAATACTCCTCGCGCTCCTGCAATACGTTGGTCGTTCTTATTATCATTACACGTGGTACACGGTAAAAAAAAAAACAAAAAACAAAAATATTGTTACAGTATAGAATACAGACGAAGAAAAAAAAAAGTAATCGTATCGAAGGCTGCAGATGGCGCGAGCATCGTCGTCGCCGTAGTCCTGATGATTGTTCTTGTTTTTATCCTCTAGTTTGCTTGGTAAGTATTATCATCATAAAAAATGGTACACCCGTTTTACAGAAGAGCACACGGTTTTCCCCATCATGTACGCTGAATGTATACAGTAGCGGTTGTAGTAGCGGCAGCCTAGCCCTCGCCCCGTTTGCGCACGAGTTGGCCACCGTCGTCTTCGGCGCCCTCTGGCGTCACCACCTTTGTGGTCATAGTAGTAGTAGTGGTCGTGGTAGTAGTAGTAGTAGTTGTTGTCTTTTCCCGCGTTGGACCGACGCATCACGACGAGCAGGCCATCCACGAGTTGCAGGTGCACGTGTAGCACGCGGTAGGTATGACGGGCGCGTAGTAGTACCCGTTGGCGTACACGTAGGCCGGGTGGGGGGCAACCTGCGTGGGCGCCGCCTGGTGGTGGCTTGCCCCGAGTCTCGGGTGCTGCTGGCCCTGGAGACAGAGCACCTGGTAAGCCAAGCTCTCGATCAGGGCGAGGGTCTGCCTGCGCTCGTGGCCCATCAGACAGACCGTCGACTCCTCGACCACGCTGTGCAATAGCGTGAGGTACTGGTACTTGAGTGTCTCCTCCTCCGGGCCCACAAAGTGATTCCACAGGTAATTCTCGAGCTTGGCCCTCTGTTGGCTTATGTCCGGGAAATCGATGAAAAAACGCGAGCACATGTAACGCTCCAGGGTCTTTATGTAATCCGGCTGCGCGGCCTTGTACATCTTCACCAGGAGGTTGCAGTACTTGAGCAGACCACCGCCGCGTATCTCCTCCGGGTGCCTCGTCGAGATGAGCTTCTTCTGGAGGTGGTAGAGCGCCTCGTGGAAATCCCCGTACACCGACTCGCCGACCACCCTCGGGTAATCGGCCTCGCTTATCTCGGTTATCGTCGTGGTCGTCAGGGACTTGTTGTTGTTGTTGTTGTTGTTGTCCTCGCCCGCGTCGATCGTGGATTGCCGCTGGACGGCCGCGGCGTGGAACTGCAGGAGCGAGTCGAGGACGATCTGGAACGAGTCGACCGAAAACTCAAACTGCCGCCTCATCGTGTCGACGAACTTGAGCTCGACGTTCCTGTGGCCCCGGCTGTTGCCGAGGGATATGAGGGACCACCTGTCGCCGTCGTTGTTGACCTTGACCATTTTGCTGACGTAGGCCTCCTTGAGGCTGCACGTGGTGATGCGGGCGCGACTGACGCCCTCGGGCAGGAGGTCGTAGAGGGAGCCGAGCACCGCGGCCTTGACCTTGTCGTAGTGCCGGCCGCTGCTGAGCTCCAGCCCGAAGATAAGGTCCAGGTCGTTGTAGGGCTGGGACTCGGTCGCGAGGACGTGCGACGCGGCGCCGCCGTTCAGCCGGATGTCGCGCACCTTCAGTCCGGCCCCGCCGCTCGCCGGGTCCTCCTCGAGCTTGCCCCGGACCACGGTCACGAGGTCGCGCAGCCTCACCTCGAGGGTCGGGAAATTACCCCGCCCATGGATGCTCACGACCTCGTTCATCACGTCGTTCAGCCGGCACACCTGCTCGTAGCTGAGGACCGCCCGCCTCTGCTCGCTCTCCGAAATCACCCCACCGCTCTGCGTCGTCGTTATCGCCCCGGTTGTCGTTGTTGTTGCTGCTGCTGTTGTTGTTGTTGTTGTTGTTGTTGTTGTGGTGGTGGTGTTTTTCGGCAGTTGAGACTGCGGTAGCTGCCTCTGCTGGTGCAATGGCTGTTTCGGCCCCGCCTCGCTGCTGACGGCCTTGTTGTAGCCGAGGTAGGTGGTCGGGGATACGGTGGCCAACTCGGGCTTTCTGCTGTAGCCGTTGATGACCACCTGATTGTAACCGAGGGAGTTGGCTCTCACCGGCGCTGGTTGCTGCGGGACGATAGGCGCTGGCGTCGTCGTCGTCGCAACTATCGGTGGCATCGACGTCTTTATGTCCGCGATTATCCTGTCGTACATGCTGTCGTCGAGGATCGTCTTGCCGTTGCTCACGACCTTGTTGTACGGCAGCCCGGCCGTCGTGGTCTTGTAGCTCCCGCTGACCACTCTGTTGTACCCAAGCGGTTGCTGCTCGTTGTTCGTCGCTCCTACTTTGCCTCTGTTGTTGTTGTTATTGTTGTTGTTGTTTGTGGCTGTACCATTTGTCTTTGAGTACTGCTGCTGCTGTTTTTTGTTGCCGACAGCAGTGGTGGTCGCTTTCTTGGCCTCGTCGTTGTTCTTCTCGTCGCTGCAGCTGCTGATGCTGCTGCTGCTGCTGCTGCTGCTGCTGCTGCTGTTGTTGTTTTCCCTGTGGAGCCTGGATGAGTCATCGTGGGCCGTGCCCTTGGATGACTTTTTGCTCGCCTTGCAGCCCTTGACCTGGCAGGCAGCGCTGGACTCCATGGTTCTGCGCCCCTCGACTTTCACACCTGCACTGCAACAGAAATCGGACACGATCGGCGTTAATTAATGTTTTCCAAAAAATGAAAAAGACAAATAATTGTCAACAGAACAGAGGAAAAATCATTCAAATTATTCACACCTATTCCACGAGCATGTATAGTGGTGATATAACACTTGACAGAATGTTGCGTCGTTAAAGCGACGACGGAAGATTACCTGAATAGGTGCAATACCTACATCGGAGGAACGAATGTATAGAGTGAGGAAGTAGGAGTGGGGGGGAGAAAACGGGAAATATTACGAGCGTCATCGCACAGTGTCGCATAAGTGCGCGCAACATTATCTATAATATAGTGTAAGAGAGTTATCGGCGTGTAATCGCGTTCTATTGGATTACGATAAGCGCGACCGCGAGTATACCCGGCAGGTACATGTATTACAACACGCGCTTCCCCCCTCCCCCTCTCCCCCTAATGGCTGATACACGCACTCACACACAGATGCGCGCAAGAGTGTTGCCGATCGTCGGAAAAGGAACTTTTACTCGCGCGGGAAAATAAAGATTCTTGCTTTGTATACGCACACAATGGTCAATGATTTTGTGGTGTGGGTATAGATAACTTTTCCTTCGGGCGAATATTGTATATACTCGATAACTTCGTTCATTAAATAAAGATTTCGAGACACGTGCGCTAAGGAAAATCAAACTTATGTATATGTCTATACGTGCAAGCTCGCTGCTGCAGAGTCGCTTTTTTTCCCGAGAGTATATAATATAATCCCGCCGGTCGGAGGAGGAGAGCGGCGTATATTACGAAACTTGTGCAACCGAACGGGCTGCACTTGAGGTATTCTTTATAGAGAAAAAAAAAAAAAAAAAAAAAAAAAAGTATTTACACGCACCACGCGACATGACAAATATTCTTATGTACTTACAAACGAGGGTGATGCGGGTAAGTATATATCTTTTGCGTATACAACAGAGTCCTCCCGATCGAGTTCGGCTTCTTCACTGCGTCAGCATCGGCCGAATCCAGCGGATATCGGTATATCGGGCCAACCGGGTATAAATATATTATATATGTAGTGAAAGGCAACGACTCGTTGGCGTAAGGTCGTTCTCCCCCTATAGACGGGGGACGGCGTTTAAAAGGCGTACACACCGAATCAACAAACAATAAATAACACTGGGAGTATATATTATGAAATGGGGAGCTGCTGATTGTTTCCCCCTGCACTTGTTCACGCGCACTCAAACACACACTGACACACCTGTGCAATTGTTATACGTATATGTTGTATGTTCCACCGGTGGACCGATTTTCCAACGATTTATTGTCGGTCGAATCGGGAAAAGGCCCTCGAGCGCTCGGCAACGGCGGACAAGCGACACGTGTAGACTGTGCGCTCGCGGCGAGCCCACTGTATTATACTTATCCGCGCTCCGAGAGCCCGCCTATCAACGACTCTCGTCTCTCTCGCTCTTTATCGTATGTATAAGCACACTGTGGCGCTTGACGTCAGCTGACGGCTGCGCGAGCCGCTACCGGCCTAATACACTGGTATTGTACACACACCACGTAGGCAGTAGGAGCGCGTGGGCGTCCCTCCTTGGCTATACTTTTATTTCTCCGGTGCGGCGGTGCGATGAATGAGCGTCTGGATGAGATGGCCCGCAGAGATGTAGCTCGTTTGCCCATTCAGTTGGTGACGTGGGTCGTGCATTGGGGGGAGCGGGGCTAGGGAGGTGCCAGTATATTTTCACGTGCACACAGCTAACACTGCTCGTTTGGCGTCGATTTCCCTGATGCTATGTCTATACTGTACAGGTTTTTCCGAACCCCTATAAGTAAGAGGTGAAGAAAATTGCTTGCCAGTTTGCTTGGCCGTGCATATACACACGTATACCAACCCCTCTATTGCGCACTCTTAAGAAAAATAAGGGTTATCGGCACATAATTATAAGGAATGGATTATTCTTATTCTGATATGCGTGCCAGTGAGTATATATTATAGCCACATGGATATATAATAAATACTCGAGTCATTTTAACAAACATGACAACGTGACATCGAATGAGATTTTCCTTCCCCTTCCGATCGCGCAAATAATAACTCGAACGCGTGCCCGTTTACTCGCGAGTCGCGATTGAATCGGTCCGCGAAGATCGGCCTTGTTTGCTTTCCAAAGTATACACCATACGGTTATGTCGCCAACTATATTTACGCCATACGTTCGTCACTGTATGATATTTAAAATTAACGTGTTGTGGGTGTTTGCATCATCGTATTATATTTTTGATATAGACACTTTTTTCCTACCAAAAGTGTTTAAAGATGTTTTACTCGTCAAGTCGGTGGTTCACGGGTGAGAATCGAGGGCGCGTGCGAGAGAAATTCAACGGCGTCCAAGTAGATCAAGATCAAACGCGACCTTCCCCTCTGGTCTGTGTAAAACTGACATACGCTCAAGCACAGCTGTATACTCGTCATCCGTTATTCTCTTCGATAATCCGAAAGAAAAACAACACCCGCGAAGCGTAAATAACGCGAAACAACACCCGAGGGTCGACAAAACATTTTCCTCATCTTTTCCGACACTTTACTTGGCGTGTAAATACATAATATTGCGTGTGCGCGCGTGTGTGTGAGTTGATCGGTTTTGCTGTTACATATATGTATGTATATATATACCCACGCGATCTCGTAACAATTGAAAAACAAGAGGCGAAAAGGCAAATCGTTGTCGACGTCCGTGACTCAGATATGCGCCACACGAGGAAAAACAAAATAAAAGATACTTTGCCAGCGTGCACGTATAGGCGCACACGCGCGTATACACACGTATATTCCCTCTAAAATCCAAAAGGGGTAATGACCATGAGAAAACCGAGGCGCCCCTGCCATGTGATACACTTCTGATGCCGTTGTCGCGTATTTTTAGCCGGCGGCCGAAATTCCTCGCTGATGTACCTACTGCCGAAAAAAAAAAAAAAAAAAAAAAGAGTCCGACGTATAGTTGTGTACGACAGGGAGCCGCAAGAGGTGGGGAAAGAAGAAAGAAAAAGAAAAAAAAAAAAAAAAAAAAAGGCGAATAATACTAATTGGCGAGTAATGTTACGCAAATTACGAGAGCAGCGCTGTAATCCGTCCGCATCGACAACAAGCGAAAGGTTCAAGGATGAAAAACAAAGAGCAGAGAGTATAATAATATATAGAGTGGTGGCGGTGGTGGGTATATATACAGAGAGAGAGGCTTTGCCGGCGACGAGAGCCGAGGGAAAAGAGGCTATTCGTGTCACGAGCGTGAAAACTCGTGGCTGTTTTTTCCTCCCCCCTTCCCACTGTATACGAGGTTCTCTTACTCGCGTCCGGAAAGTCGAGAGTTGAAGATCCTCCTATGGCTTTCTTTTTCTTCTTTTCGTATGGTGTGAGGTAAAAATATGTGGGGTGTCGCGTGGGTTTTTGGAAAAAAATGTATCGGCGGGTGAGTTTGGTATAACGTGTTATACATTGGGTGAGCGTTTGACTGGAAAGTTTCCCCTTTTGATTTATCCTCTCCGGCCGAGTTTGGATGAGTTTTAGACGCATCCGTTGCAAGTCGCAAGAATTTATGCCCATATATACGTATCGAAATGGTTTTGGTACACCCAAACTCCATATACATTCGCGCGATTAAAATCCAACGAGGAGTTCCCTGAAATTCGCACATGACGAAATAACACCACATAAATCACGCGTGTACGTGATATCTGCGAGCAAGTGGGTATATATTTATTCATAATGATGATGTATTGTACCTATTCTCGTTAAAACAACTCTATGGCGAGAGGAGCGAATTTATAAATCAAGAGTAATAAAATTAAGCATAGGTATATTTATAATAACAATAATCGGTCTCCGATCGGTTACCATTACCCCGGGTAATTTGATTAACTCAATTGGATTGATTGCCCGAACCGAGTCACATCATGTGTACCACCACACCCAACGCCGCGGGCGGAAAATAATTGGACCAGCGTCATATCGGGTGTTGGACACGTATACTCACTTGCCTTATACGCCTGCTGTAAGTTAGTAGGCATACCTAACATGACACAGTGCGCGTAAAGTGTTAACAAGACTGTTTTTCCCTCTCTCCCTCTTCGACCAGCGGACAGTAGCTACGTAATACGAGTAGTAGACTCATCGTGTAACTTGGCCTTCTTTCCCCGTGTGTATATATATGTGTGTGTGTGTATGGATACATACCGGGGTGGCGGCTGCGGCTTAGCCGTGCCAGATTGACTCCCACGCGCCCGCCAGAGCGCACGTATACATGTGCAGGACAAGGAGAAAGAGGCGAGGTATCGATCGCCCCTAGGGGGATGGTTCATATACCTTACGTCGCGGCCGACTACCACCACGAGTATATATTATATATACCTACTGTCTTTTATCTCTGCCCTACTCTCTGCGCGCGCGTGTGTCACTGCTACCCCGGCAAAGTACGTCATCATCCACGCCGAGTGGGATGGCTGGTGCTTTTTTTTTTTTTTTTTTTTCGTGGGTCGTCGTTGCCGAGCGAGGGAGGAAGGGGGCGCCGGCCGATTAACGCGCGACATCGAGCGTGCAAGTGTTACGATCGCAACGAAGGGCAGGGATGACGCGCTCGCTGCCATTGATTAACGAGAACTATTTTCGAATAGGGAATTTTGGGTTTGCGCGTGTTTGCATACCCACGTTGTTGAGGGAGCAACGAGTGTCACGGCCATCGAGTGCTTTGATGTAATCAAATTGTATACTGTTTGTTCACGTACTCACTTCTATACCCCTGTATTTTTACAGGGTCGAGGTTTGAAGTTTGATTGAAAATTAAATTTTCAAGTGTATCTATACGTCCTGTCTGTTGTGAAAATGGAAATGGACATTCTTAACTCATCGATCGATTGCAAAGTAATCCTTTTATTTGTAACAGCAAAACGCAGAGGGCTGAAAAGTAATCGCGATTCTGAACATTTTTTCGTCACGCCAACTTTCTTTTTCT